GGGCCAGGGACCCTGCTTAGGGCAGCGGGGCATCCCTGAGCACGTCGCCCTCCTGTCCACCCCGCTCATGCTCTCTCTGTCTCTCTGTCTGTCTCTGTCTCTCTCTCGCAGCTGCCGGCGTCATTTTTGTGATTTGCAGCTAGTAATCTGGCTCCAGTTGCATAGTCACAAAAGTGATCGTTGGCAGCCGTGCCTGCTGCATGGAGCATATGCCGGGAGCCCTGCCGGCGCCTGGCCCCCAGCTTCGTGCCCCACTGGACCAGAGCTGCTCCCTCCGGGGGTCCTGCCGCTGCTCCCCTCCCCGAGCCGGGCACTTGAGGAGCCGGGCTGCTCTCCTTGCCCCAGCCCCTCTCCATTCATGGTCCCTGTCCCATGCCCAGCACCACCGGGAATGTGCCGGACTCCCTAGGGCCACATCGTGGGGTTGCCCGCTGCTCCCCCCGGCTCAGGACAGCAAAGGGCACCCAGCACCGTCTTGTCCCTGGCATGGCAGGGTGCTGACCTGCTCCCTCTTGTCCTTTCAGGAAGGTGAACAAGTGCTACCGGGGTCGTTCCTGCCCTATTATCGTGCACTGCAGGTACTGCTGGGGATGGAGGTGGAGTATGGGCTGGGTGGGGGGCTGCAAGGCTGGGACCTGCTGGCCAGGACCAGTCCCCAGAGCCCGTCCCCCTGGTCCAAGCATCCGTGTCTTGCAGTGACGGTGCTGGCAGGACTGGGACATACATCCTCGTCGACATGGTCCTGAACCGAATGGCTAAAGGTAGGTGCAGGGCAGCGCCGCTTCTGCCCTGACTGGAGAGTTTGGGGTCGTGTGCTCAGCCCATGGACCCCCTCCTAGTGCCCTTCTCCCCCTCTGCCCCAGGGGTGAAGGAGATAGACATAGCTGCTACGCTGGAGCACATCCGAGACCAGCGACCTGGCATGGTGCAGACTAAGGTACTCCCCAAACTGGGGATCCCTTCCTTCCCTGAGTGCGCACAGCCTCCCAAGCCAGGCTGGCAGGG